TTGAAAAATTAATATATATTAATAATTATTAATTTTAAAAATTTAAAAATACTATCATTAGATAGATCTGAATATGATAAACCTAATAAATTTTATTTTATTTTTTTATAATTACTAGATATTAAAATATTATAATTTTTCTTTATATTTTATAGCCAATTTATACCTACACTTTAAGGGATAAAAATGGCTTAGCAATTAGTTAAAGGCATTTTATTAAAAATTTTAAATTACAAAAAATTGTGACTTTACTTAAAATATAATTATTATTATAAACAAAAAAAATAAAAATAATTAAGTTTGATTACTGCATTAGATAATCAATACATAAAAATAAATATATTTGAAGACAAATATTTGAAATATAACTTATAATATATAATGTTATTATTGCTATAAAATGTATCTATTTTTAAAACCTAAATTTTTTTTCTAGATATCTTATTATTATTGATTTGAATACACTTGAAATGAGTATTCAGTTTAGCTATAAGATGACTTAACTACTTACTTAAAAAATTAATTAATCAGATTTTTATATTTATATATAAAAAATAAGAATATTGATATTAATAAATTATTTGCTTTATTAATTCAATAAAGTTACATACTTTAGAAATAATTATTTTGTAAACCTTTAATAAACCTCTAAAAAAGAAGTTTTTAATTATATAGTATTGAATAATAAGAAAAATTATAAATATATCCTATTTCAAAATACTGATCACTTTTGCCAAAAAAATTCAGCTAGTATGAATTAGTATTTATGAAAAATTCTTTTGAGCTGATAAACATTATAGACTAAATTTTTTCACTATCTTATTTAATGCAAGTACTTGTAAATCATCTATATAAATTTTAAATATATTATCAGCTGATAATTTTCTGAAGAATGTGTATTTAAGGAATTCTTTATTATAACTGATACTCTTATTATATTCTTTTAATTTCAAATAAAGATTCTTATTGTATTTTCATTTTATACTAATAACATAATTTGAAAATTTAAAAGAATCTTTCTTTTAGACTATTTAAGATTTACTTCATTTACTTATATATTATTTATATTATAAAAAATTTTTAAATTTTTAGTTAAAAGGTCTTTTAGAATATATAGTAATAATACTAATAAAAGCTGCTTTAGTAAATTAACTATATATATTTTTTATTTAATTACTATTCAAGTCAGATTCTTTTAAATTTTACTTTTTTATTACTAGATTTTTTCTTTATAAATTTTATTTTGCAAATCTTTTTTTTTAGATATAGACATGTTGCATAATGAATAATCATTTAATTCATCAAAATTCTTCATTATTATAATAATTTCTTTAATAAACTTGATTCAGATAAATCAGTTTTATTTTCATATACAATACTTTTTAATTATTTTTTATTAATTAATAAAAGAATTATTTTATTTATTAAGTTAACTATAATATTTCTATTTATACATTCATCTAATTTGTTCAATTTACCTTTTAGAAATCTTATGTCTCTTTTAATAATTTTACCATCTTTTTTAAGCTATTATATTAGAAATGATAATTTTTCATTTTTTCTCTAATGTCTTAATTTTTTCAGAAAATGTATTATATATTTCTACATCCTACTTATTTAATTTAAATATCTGAATTAATTTTTTTAAAAATATGATAACTTAATGATCAGTTTTCTTGGAATTTTCTATATACTATTAGATGAATACTTTTAATCAATTACTAATTTATGATATTTTATATATAATATATTTTACTTTAAATAAAAAATAAAATTAATAAATAATAAAAAAATAAAAATTAATAAATATAATCTAACCTATCTACATGATTAGTTTTCATTGAAGATATAGAATGATTTTACTTAATCATATCATTGTCTCCTTTTTCTAAAATTAACTATAATATATTTATCAGATAAAGAAGTATGGTTATCTAACAAATGCTGAAGGGCTTAACTGGTAATAGTATTGACCTTTTATAAATTCTTTGTACTATACATTATAATAGCAAATACTGATCTTATTTTGTGTAAATAACTAGAAGTATTGGCTTATGTGATTTAGGAATAAATTCATTTTTTTAGAAAATGTACTTAAGTATATAAATCTAGACTTTTCAAGATTCCTTAATTTTTTAGAAATAATTGTTTCTTGAATCTATATAAGTAATTGCTTTATCTGCTTCTAATTTTTTTCTAGTGATTTAAATATTTAAGAAATATTCTGTTGACTCTGATTTTTTGTGTATCCAGTTATATTTTCATTAATTATACGCAAGTTTTTAATTTTAACAGGATAGATACAGAGTATAATCATTATATCAGTTAAGGTCTGTTTATTAGATGTATTAGATATATTATATAAATCTAACTTTTTCTTAACTGATTCTAATGAAAAGTAGTTTGAATAATAGAGCTCTTTATTTTTGTATTACTTGCTATGTTCCTTTTAGATTTTATTAAATGATCTAATTATTTTTAAATTTAATGTAGTAGAAATTATATTTTCTAAAGCATTAACGTTAAAGATTTGCAATTCTCTTTGAAATATAGAGAAATAGAAAAAGGTAACGACAGGATCAGAGACAGTTTTAACTAAAATTTTAGATATTGCTTTTACATCTCTTTTACTAAGTTTATTTTGTTGAATATGCTGATCCATATCTTTAATGGTTTTTTCAAAATAAGTACTATTAGATACTTGATATATATTACCTTTCCAGCTTCTGATTCTTCTTCTTTAGGAATTACTTCACTTTTACTTTGTCCGATTCTCTGGAGAGGAATTAATGCAAATGCCTGCTCTTTGCTAAAACTATACACTTTTTGAAGACAATTACAATCATGATATCTTTCTCTTTATCATCTGTCAAGAGTTCAAATATTTCTGATGAATATTGGCTAAACTTTTCAAGACTTATCTCTTTGGTAAGTTTATGATCTGTAATGAACTTTGTAATAGCAGGCATAATGTAGTTTATAAAATATAAATAATAATTAGATTAATCTATATTAGTCAGATTATATATTGAGAAAAAAAGTTTAATTCAAAAAATTTCTGATAATTCTCTATGCGCATGTTTAGTGAAAGCTATTAGAGGGTTGAAGGTAAGGAAAAAGAATAATATAACATATGCTTTAAACGTTTTATAAAAAAAGATAATCAATAAAAAAAAGGCGGTATAAGTCCGCAATCATTAGCATAGAATTGGTTAGAATGCTTACATAAATACAATATTGCAAACATGAGATCGGAAATCAACTGAATATATTTTATTATTTGGTTTATGATAAGCAAATATTTATATTAATTTAACAAATAAATTTACAAATAAGCAAATGTTCCTATTATTTTAATTTACAAATAAATTTAGAAATGTGCGGGATAAGCAAATGTTCTAACTTCCTTTATATAATTATACGGTTATTCCAGATCCTTTCCATCCCTTCATCTATACGACGTTTAAACTCCATACAGGAACTCGATCACCATTGTTCATGACTTGACAAATATTTTCTGGATATATAAAGTAATTTGTGAGGCCATCTACAAGATTTTTCCCCATGTATAAAAGATTTTGCTCCATCTCGTTCCATTCATACATATTTCCATCTTTATCTAATAACCAGATGACTAATCCGGAACGATCCACGAATACTGATTTAATATCAGTTATTCCAAATTTTTCATTAAGATACTCAATATATTCTACATCTACAAAGTCCAATGAATCATCGTTTGTAATCTGGTGAAACCCGAAACGATTATTTTTATCTAGATGCTCACAAATGTAATCCGGCAACTTTGACAATTCTGACATTTGTTTCGTTCGCACATTGATTGTGCGCGTATATTGATTGGAATATTGGGCCCCAGCCTTGCTAGGTGAATCCAGGGAATCGTTTCCGTACAATTCCCGTTCTGATCTTTCGGGAAAAGAAGCGAGTCGTTTTTCTGTCGAATCCTGACCAGGCGAGCTCTGTCTTGTGGTTCTTGGGATATACCTGCGAAAGAGGCTATTATTCTTTTGCGATTGGTCTTCCACGACACGTTCACGGCTATGGGACGTTTGTTGCGGGCTGGCTTCAGAATGTTCATCCAGCTTGATAGCTGATCCAGGCGTTGACATATGGATTTCCTCGGTTTTTGCTCTTTTCTTCTGCTTTTTTCTCTTCTTTTTCCCCTTCGTTTCTTCATTTTTTCCTTCGTTTTTCTCTACATTTTTCCCTTCGTTTTTCTCTTCTTTGTTATCTTCTTTAGACAATTCTTCGAATATATGATGCACAGCGCGTCCGGTATAATTGTGATTGATAATGTAGTCACATTTGATATCTGTACCATTATTGCTCATTGGAGTCTGTTGAAAGGGTATTTGATGGTTCCTGATGTAGAACATCAAAGGTACATCAAAGGTAAATATCAATACATGATCTTTAAAAAAACTAAACTTTTAGTATACTTGTATGGTTGTAGAATTTCGTTGTAAATAATTTGGGTCTTCAAGCTCCTCGCCGCCATTTTTGCGATCCATTCCCAAATCTAAAGTAAAGAATATTTTAAGAAACTTTCTTTTGGTTTATAGAATTGGTAAATAAAAAGTTAGATTTACCATTTCCTGATCCCATGATTGGCATCAGGAGTAGGGTTATTAGAGTTATTCATGTTGTTCTGTCTTTTAAAACAAAAGTTTGAAAGTTTTGTCATTACTAATTCGATTGATTTCAGGGTATTTATTGAAAAAGGTTCGGTCGTACCTTTTGACTAATGTGGCTTTTTGTGTAATCAATCTACAATAGCACTGAACGTATAAGGGAGGGCCAGAAATGACGTCATTTGATTTTTGGACCAGTAAATTTGTCTCCTGCACGTGATCGTGAAACCGATTTCTAAAAATGGAAATAAACCCCGGTAACAAAAATTTTTTTAAATAAATTTTATAAAAAATGGCGAAAAAATTGTTATTAAAAATCTTATGAAACTAAAAGTTTAGATGTTTTATTAAAATATAATTAAGCAAGCAACTTTTACTTTCAATCATTTTTTTTTAACAATTCTGTGCCTAATCTTCGCATATTTCAATTTTACAAGTAATTTTAACCACATTTTTTAGATATTAATTATATGTCTCTTTAATTTACTATATTGATTGAAGAATTTTATAATGAGCAATTAAAAATTATATAAATAAAAAAAATAATAATATAATAAATACATTATATAGAGTTGATGGAGAAAATGATGAATGAGAATATTGGTAAAAGTTAGAGAACATGATCTTTTTTTTTATCATTATGGAACTCTTTTTGAACCTATGATACGCCAAGAATTCATGTTTCGCATACAACGATCTTTGCGTTTTCTGCTCTATTTTCACGTTTCAATGGTTATTAAATTAGATGTGATTGAACTACATCTAGACGTTCTATTCCGTAGTTTCAAATCATGAATAATCATGAATGAATAATCAAGTATTGTGACTTAACCATTAATGAGTGAGAGGTTTTTTATTGAATCATGACATTGCCGACCACAATAACACATCGTCTCAAGGCTTATGCACAAACCTGCTAGTTAGGTATCAAAACAAAAATATATTACAAGCAGCTTGGAATCAATCATACACGCATAAGATCTTGACAACATCCCGTTAAATTAAAACTATGTAGAAAAAATAAATATTGTAACATACACGCACCACTTTACATCAAACAGTCTGATAAATTAAAATGCGACCACCTCATGCAAATGATAAACTTTCTAAATTTAGTAAATTTAGTGTGATCACGTTTCTTTATATAACAATAAATTCTCTACAAACAAAAAACAGGAGAAAAAAAAAAAGAAAAATCTTTCATAATCTTTTTGAAATTGTTTTAGAAAAGTCCCTTAAAACGTTATCAACAATCGAAGAGATATTTAATTAAAACAATAAACAATGTGACTTGTTATACTATAATGAACCCTTGAAGTCTTGACCTGGATACATAATAAATAATAACTAATCATTTCTTTAACAACTTTTTTAGGTTAGCTAATATTTCGCAACTGTTTAAATCGATTAAATTACATGTATTTGGTGCATTGTGTCACTTAAAAGATTAAAATTTAAGGCACCTGCAGGAAAAATTAACTGTGCATCTGAAGGGATGAATCATTCATCATCATTATACTGTAGTATATATATATTGTATATATACAACATTTATTTATCATATTTATTATTTACTTTTTTTTTTATATTTATTATAAAGTATGGTTATGTGTTGAATATTTGTGTGTTATGCTTTTATAGCCTTAATTGGCGTTTTAGTGAACCTTTTTTACGAAGGATTTACCTCTGTGACTTTAGATGATTCCGATCAACCATTTATTTTCAAAATTTTCATCCAAATCATAATCTGATACCAAATATAAAATAGGGTGAGCTTTTATCTTTTTACCAACGAATAACAAAAAAAAAAAAAAGTAAAAAAAAAAAAGAAATTAAAAATTCATTTCTATTCTGTATATCAAATTCTTTTTCTTTTTTTTTTTTTTTTTACAGCAAAGGCATTTATTTCAAAGTTTTTAAGAAAATAAAAGCAAGCGTTGGTCCTTATGACAAATATAGTGAAACCAAAGGAATCATTTGATTCTTCCAATGTAGACTCATCAAGTAAATTAAATAAAATGAATATTACCAATCTACAAAATTGTGAAAATAATAGTAGGTCACAAAACCTTAAACAAATACTTTTAAAAGCTTTTCGAAAGACACAAAAACCGGTAAATGAAGAGGTTTCTTTTATAGAGACTGATAACAAATTATTAATTCCATCTTATTCATCCGCTACAAATCTACAACAAACGTATGAAAATAATAGTAATAATAGTAATAATAGTGCAATACAGAAACATAGGCGAAGCATTTCAGCGGTTGTTAAAAAAACCAAAAAACCGGTAAATGTGCACGAAGGGGATCCTTATATAGAGGCTGACAACAAATCGATATCGTCAACACGTTTTTTTCCATCTTTACGTAAATCTTCATCCGCTACAAACCTACAACAATCATATGAAAATGATAATGCATCGCAGAAATTTAAGCGAGGTCTTTCACCGAACGTTCGAATAACCAAAAAACCGGTAAATGTGCACGAAGGGGATCCTTATATAGAGGCTGACAACAAATCAATATCATCAACAGGTTCTAAAAAGAAATCTTTATTTCCATCTTTACGTAAATCTTCATCCGCTGTTAATCTACAACAATCATATGTAAATAATAGTGCATCGCAGAAACTTAAGCGAAGCATTACATCGGTCATTCGAAAAACCAAAAAACCAGTAAATGTGCACAAAGGGGATCCTAATATAGAAACTGAAAACAAATCAATATCATCAACAGGTTCTATAAAGAAACCTTTAATTCCATCTTTACGTAAATCTTCATCCGCTGTTAATTTACAACAATCATATGAAAATAATAATGTATCGCAGAAACTTAAGCGAAGTCTTTCAACGATCGTTCGAAAAACTAAAAAACCGGTAAATTTGCACGAATGGGATCCTTATATAGAGGCCGACAACAAGTCAATATCATCATCAGGTTCTAAAAAGAAATCATTATTTCCACCTTTACGTAAATCTTCATCCGCTGTTAATTTACAACAATCGTATGAAAATAATAGCGCATCACAGAAAATTCAGCAAAGTCTTTCACCGGTCGTTCGAGAAACCAAAAAACCGGTAAATTTACACGAAGGGGATCCTTATATAGAGACCGACAACAAATCAATATCATCAGCAGGTTCTAAAAAGAAATTTTTAATTCCAACTTTGCGTAAATCTTCATCCGCTGCTAATCTACAGCAATCGTATGAAAATAATAGCGCATCGCAGAAACTTAAGCGAAGTCTTTCAACAATCGTTCGAAAAACCAAAAAACCGGTAAATTTACACGAAGAGTTTCCTTTAACGCATCCTTTGCGTAAATCTTCGTCCGCTACTAATATACAACAATCATATGAAAATAATGGTATATCACATAAACTTAACCGAAGACTTACGGAAAAACCGGTAAATTTACACGAAGGGAGTCCTTCTTTGATAGAAGATAACACATCACATCTATATTTACGTAGATGTTCATCCACTTCAAAAATACAACAATTTTATGAATCGCATAAAAGTAATGACGTCCCACAGAAGCTCAAACGAAGTCTTACAACGGTTATCCGAAAAAAGCCGGTAAATTTACACGAAGACATTCCTTCTTCTACAAATCTTAAAAAGAAATTTTCATTTTTACGTAAACAACAAACATGTGAAAATGACAGCGCGCCACAAAATCTCGAACGGAATCATTTCGAAATTCTTCCAATAAACGATTCTTCAACAGATACCGATAGCATATCAATCTCATCAATTTCATCGAATGAGAGTCAAAGTTCAACAAGTACAGCTAGTTCGACGGATACGACAAAATCGACCAATAAATTACTTTACATATTAAACAATTTTAATGGCGCTTTAAATGGTGGAAGAAATGTTAAAGATAAAAAACGAAAAAAATATAATTTGACTGAAATCATGGTTAGCAATGAAATAAGGATTACCTCTTCGGATATAATGGACGATTATGGATGCTTCTCTACAAAAAATTATGTACATACTTCGCATTCTATAAATACGAGCATTCATTACAATCAGTGTAGGTCAGCCGGTACTGACAATTTATTCGATTTACCTCAAATAAAATTAAATGAAGCAGCGTTACACATCTCTAACGAAGTCGTTCCACCTCCCACGTTGATTGAATATGATTTACGTGATCCTGCATCACTCAAAAACGAGGACGCTACGTCAACACCAAGTGAAGAGGACGAAGCGAATTTCAATCAAGTTTTCCATGACTTTGAACTTTTAAGGATGAATAAACCTAATAAACCATTGCCTTTGCCTCCATCGGTCGAAATTTCTCCAAGCTCAGGATACGACATTATTTCAGAAACTTGGCCATTCGCTCAATTTCCAAAAAGGTCATCATTTAACAGTAGGTCCAACTTACCTCTTTACGACAGGAAAAGTTCATCGTCATGTTCACCAACCACATCAACTTGTTGCATTTATGGAGTATGTAAGAGATGTAAACGACCTCGTACGGGAATGTCATGGTGTAAAACATGTTTCCCCAGGATTTTTAAGCAGAATTTTAGCTGGAATAGTGAACAGAACATCGTTGATGAATTGATCAAGAACACACAATTATACTCTAATAATCTATGTGAAATATTGGAGTGGATACCATTTGAAAAATTTAAAGATTTACAATGGATCGGAGAAGGTGGTTATGGTGATACGTATTGGGCAAGATGGATCGATGGGAAAATAATTGATTTGAATGAAGATGACAGTTGGGATCGAACGGGAGAGAATGATGTGGCCTTAAAGATATTACACAACTCTCAAAGTATTTCTCAAGAATATTTGGATGCATTCGGCGTGTATCAAAAACGTACACCAAAGTTATACAATGTATTGAAATGTTATGGAATATCAAGGGACCCGTTCACAAAAAATTTGATCATGGTAATGGAATACGCAAAAGATGGAAATTTAAGAGATTATTTAAGTAATAATTTCATGAACGTCACATGGTCCAAACGTATTTCTATGCTTTATGATATCGCCCAATCATTAAAATCAATCCATGAAGCCGAATTAATTCATAAAGATTTACATTCTGGTAATGTATTTATTCACGATGGTCACGCTTTTATCGGGGATTTGGGGTTTTGTTCAAAAATTCGAAAGAAATTTTCATCATCGGCATACGTATCGCCCGAATTATCCAAAGGGGATCGATTTACTATGGCAACCATGGCCTCAGACATTTATAGCTTTGCCATGATAATGTACGAATTAGCAACTTTTATACCTCTGTATCCAAATTATTTTGATGAGGAATGTGGTATACATGAAGGGACCAGTCAAATCATTCTGAAAGGCATCCCGAATTGTTACCTAGTATTAATGACTCAATGCTGGTCTCACCGCCCTGAAAAAAGACCTAATGCTAATCATATCGTACAAACCATTGAAGGTTGGAACGTTTGCCTTGATATGGTCGATAAAGAAGAAGAATTATTTCTCGCCGAATGATTCAGATTATATGCCATAAATCGAAACAGATGAATCCGAAAATTTTATTGAATGTGTTTTTTTTGATAATAAATACATTATGGCTGGGCCATAATTTAGTTACGTGTGTAAATGAGTTTTAAAAAAATAAAAAATGTTACTGAATACCATAAAGAAAAAGATCTAATCAAAGTGTTAATGTTCAATGTTTTTTTTCTTGATTTCTTTCAAATAATTTTCTTTAATCTTATCATCCTGTATATGAATGACAGCGCCGTGTCTTGAAGCGGAACTAGAAGATTTATCTATAAATATCAAATCGGAAATGTAAGATTTGGTAAATTCCATTTTATAATTCTCAATAAATTTTAATTTGACTAGATCGACTAGATATTTTGTTTTAAAACAACTACCGATTAAGAAAATCGTTGAATATGAATGATCTTCCGTAAAGTTATGTTGCCACCAATGTAAATGGTCTATTAAATAATTAACAATATCATTTGAAATCTCTTCACAAATATTTTGTATCTTTTCCAACTTTACAGGCAATTTCCAATTGAATTCTTCTATAATATCTTTTGATTCACTATTCAAGTAAACCGATAATTGATGTTTAATTATTTCAATATCCAATTGTTCGAAACAATCATCATCCTCCGTTTGGACGGCAAAAAAATTATTGTTAAGGAATTCATAGACCTGCCCTTGAATTTCGTTAAATGAATCATTTGATCTTTGATTAATTAAATCTTTTTGTAACAAATGTGATAGGTTCGACTTTGATAATAACGCTGAGATTATGCATGAATTTATATTCGTGGCGCTGGTTTGATAAGTTGAATCCGATAATGATGTCGGTGATAATAGTGACCTCGTTGACAGATTAATTGAATTCGATTCACACGTCGCAAATAAGAATGAATCTGTAAAAGAAACTGATATCAAAATACGAACCATTGAAAAGTCATCTGATCTGTTCCTACTCACCTCCAACTTTTAATGATTCATGTTCAACGTTATCAAGACATTCTAATGCCATCGATTTTGCTTAAAGAAAATGAAAATAAAGAAATGTATAAATATATATTTATCATTTATTTATTTACTTTTTTATTTACTCTTATACCTTGATTAATAAATTGGATTTCATTCTCTTTAGAATATATAATTCCGGAATTTAATGTGAAATCTATGATAATTTCTCTAATTGTTACCCCCTAAAGTGATTAAATTAAATTAAATTAATTGCAAAACTAAAAAAAAAAAAAAATTTTTTTTTATTTTATTTTTATTTTTTTTTATTTTTTTTTTTTACCCAAGTATCTGGTATAATATAAAGTATTCCAATGTGAGGTATGGTACCAAGATCAGGCCATTTTTTATTTATCGATTTTCTTATCGCCTATACCAAAAAAAAAAAAAAATCCTTAAAATAAATTATATTTATTGTTTATTATAAATATTTGAGCTTTACCTTTAGAATTCCTAGCAAATAATGGCAAATCATTTGTTTATAATTTAATTCTGGTGGTATCCAAACTTCTTCTTCAACAAATAATTGAAATGTAAACAACTCTTTAGGAAGATGATGTTCATCATCATCATAATGTTTTGATGATAATGTTGATTTGATTTCTTCTAATACGGGAAATCCGATGCTTATGGTCGAATTATATGATTCGTTGTATTGAATTATGGCCGGAATTTTATATGATTCATGTTGTTGAAATTTCCTTTTTTTTTTAAAAAAAAAAAAATAAATAAATATAATTTTAAATTTTTCTTATCGTAAAGCAGAAAATGATCTTTTTGGCCTTTTTTTTACCATGGATTTATAGTATGTGCTTTATATTTTCGGGAAAATGCTGCGAAATCGAGAGCTTTGATAACGTTAAAATGATTCTGCCTAACAAAGAAAAAAAAATTCATATAGGTTTGCTTACTGGTATAAACCGGTCCGAGCTCTTTTTTTTTTTTTTTTTTATCAATAATATTAATTAGTATCGCATTCAAAGAGAAGACAATAAGATGAAACAATAATGATGCAAAACAATTATTGCATACCTATAGTTACTACCACACGGACATCCTCCTCATTGCACCTTTTATAATTTGCCATCCTGATAAAAAAAAAGTTTGTTTCAAAAGAAAAAAAAAAGAATTTGATTAATCTTTTATAGGTAAATTAACTGAATTTTTGTTTAATTGTAATGATCCATTTATAGAAACAAGTTTTTAAATTAGGGATCGAACGTAACGTCCGAATTCCGACTAACCAAGCAAGCAAAGAGAGAATCAACCGTGGCGTTCGATGCTTTTATTTCCTTTAACCCTTTCATAAGACATGGGGGGTTATTTGGTTGTGTAATGTATCATTTTTTTATTTTTGTTTGAAATTTGATGCCGTGATTAGTAATTTTTACTATTTTTGTGATTCTTTGAACTTTGATGATGTCATTGTAATTTTTAGATACCTATTTCCGAAATTTGGTCTCATTAAATGCGAGAGCCCGAAAAAGGACCGGCCCGGTCTTAGGAAATCGGATCTGCTGACCGGAAGTTAACCGATTTCGGTCGGCTGTGCGTTTAAAGAATTCTACCCAAAATATCAAAAAATATCAACCACCTTTACATCGTCAAAACGTTTTACATTTTTATAAAAATTTCGTGCTGTTATGATTTCAAAAACAAAATCATTTTTGAAAAGTGTTAAGCGTTGATAGTCACGTGTGGGCTACGGTGACACCGTCTCCGGGAATGACAAATTATGTGGGGTGGGGAAAATTTCACACGCGGTTACTTGAAGAGACGCTGATTGGTTTATTAACATCTTTGTGTGACCATTAGGTAAATGTCAGCAACCATCTGTCGTCTCAACGAATACCTTGATCGTGTAGAATCATACGATTCCCGATCATATCATCCTTCTACTCATACTACAATGTGCAACATAACATTATATTAATACCAGATTCCATTTATTTATAACGACTTTGGGTAAATTAAATTGATGATTCTGTCAAAACAAATTTTCAACATAAACTTGTTGAGCAAATGATAGAACCAACGTTAATGGTTAACGCTTCGTTCAAAGCATCCGTCAACCAAAGCAGAGATTTCATCAATGACTACAGTCTTCTCGACTGCAGCTTCGTTGATATTTTATACAGATAATTAGCATTCACGGTAAATGTTATTTTCTCGCTATTCTATTCTATTGAACAAAAAAAATTCTCGAGATATTAATTTTCGTAAGCTAAAGGCACATTCTATTATAACGAGAGCGGGGGATGTTCACATTCTGTAATCCAATTTCCTCGCATCAAACACACCTCATGTACGATAACGTCCCAAAAAAACCTAAAAGAATGCCCAAGAATAACATTTACTACCTACGTGTGCCGATTTCTACATTGATTGGAAGAATATAGATAATAGTCATATCACCAAACAAATCTTATCTTCATCGTATCCTAAAGCAAAAAAAAAAATAATAATTCCCCACACCTTGCAATTTACAGTATGATGACACATGACTATGCAATAATATTCTGGCCAACGATCAATAATTATTATTGCATCCAAAAGCAACTACTAAAGTGAAACGAAACCACAAATTAACTCCTGGATCCTATTAGGAAATCTTTCTTGGCGAAAAATGCCAAATTTTTAAGGACATTAAAAATTATTTATTTCAAAAAAGCATAAAATTTTCTCCGAAGATATGAAATTATTTTTTCTTTTTTCCGATCATACACCTGAATAATGTTAATAATTTCCTAGAGCGAGATTATCGGGTTGATCTCATAAATTGGAATGAACTTTAAACATTTAAGCGACTCTTTCATAGGTTCGTTAAGATTAATGGTTGGCTTGAAACTTTCATATATAATCATTAAATAATTCGTCACTGATGATAGTGACTTAGGTCCAGTGAAGTGGGACGACCAATGCATTAACTACCTTAATCAATAAACTTTATTTCAGAACGATTCAAAAGAACCTTTAGCATGTGCTTCATTTATTATTACACAAATAGCATAATCTTTTATAGTATTAAATAAGGAAAGAATAAAGGTAGATATTATTATTATTATTATTATTATTATTTTTCAAAGTATCGACATAATCATACTTTGTCTTTTATTTTATTTACACGATACAAAATACTCTTTCGAATATTCAAATTTGCATTTTAATCACCAGTGAACCCTTGAAGGGTTTGAATAATATTTATTTCATTGCATTCTTTATTTTGGAGATTCAAATAATACCTTTGCATGTGTTCCATTTGCATATATTACACAAAACAACTTGTTAATTCCCAGAATTTGTTCTAGTTTACCGGATATAATTTTTTTCCATTATAATATTAATATGGAAACAGGAATAAAGGTAGTTATTTTTGTCATAATATTTACAGGTTTATTTACTGCCCTTTTTGAAATTTCAGGATGACCAATGATCTTGCGAGGGTTCAAAATTATTTCAACTGTATTCAAAATGTTTAATCTTATCAGCCCCCCATGTTTTTTTATTTGTGAAAAAAAAAAAAAAGGTATTCTTTATAAATTAGGAAATAGCCCTCCAAAAAAAGTAAAGTGGAAAATATATTAGTAATATGAAAAATAACCATTGGCAATATTTATATTATTTATTTACAATATTGTTTTTAATATTTATCATTCATTACACGTCGGGTCTAATAATTTATTTTTTTCACGATCTACAACCAATTATGGTTTAGTTTCAAACTTCAAAACGCAATGGAAGGCGTTCTCTTTATCAAAATGCATTTGGAAATAGCTACGAATGCTGCGCCATGATGTTTCAGGCTTTGGTAACGAAGTCACAAAAAGAAGAATAGTGACTTATTATTTTAATTCCATTCCTTCTATATAGGAATTTCAAGGTATCGGACGAGCCGTCGCTTTTATTATTATTATGATGATTATTATTAGAAAAAAGAAATTTCCAAATACCAAACATAATCGATTTGCCACTTATTATTAGTCGGAGTCATCCCTTAATCAAAAAAAAAAAATGAGTAATTCCTATTAATAGACCATCATGCTTTTTGCATATGTGGCGAACAATCGAAATCGTACACATGTAATATGCGAAAATTCCATATTGTCACAATATTACTCGTTCAAAATTGGAAAGGTCATTTAGAACAACTTGAATATGAAATGGTTAACATAGCTTGCTAACGAACTTGTTCACCTTGTTTGGTCTTGGTCAAGGAACTATTCATGAACGTAATTATTCAACAATCCAAAAAAAGTTCTCTTTGGAATGTGATGATAATGATAATAATAGTTTATCACATTGTCACATCCTTTTAAGGAGGCTTATTGATGGATTTTGGAATGAATTGGATATTTTCGGTTCAGGTGATCAACCGTAGTACCCCCAACGATTTGGGTCGCACACATCCCACATGGGTTTTCAAATTTTTACCAATTCGCAACGCTTTTGAAAGTTGGTAAAAATAATATTAATATTAATCTTTATTCACATGTAATATGGATTGGGAAATGAATGAATTCAAAAAAAAAAAAAATTCTTCTTACATGGGGAATATTCGAAAGTATGAATCCCAAAAAATAAGGGGGGTATTTACGTTGAAAACTTTTAACACAAGGACTCATACATTGATTAAATTACATCTGTTTACAATGGTAAAGTAATCAACACGTTCTAAAAAGGGAGGAAAAAAGAAATCTCTTGGACTAGTTAGTTCAAATGCATTGGAATTATTACATTGATTAAATATTTGTGTTGTGTGTCATTATTCACAAGAAGAAAATTTATGAGTATGTTTCATCTTTTTTTTTTTTTTGTCACGTCAAACGTGTAGACCCTTAATAATTTCCCGAGTTATGCTCGTGTGAAACAAGGGCCTGTGCATCGGCAAAGTAAATTTCTTAATAAAAATAAAGTTAATGTTTCAGCGGGTCTTTTTCTATATATAGATTTAGATTTAACGTAAAAAATAACAATGATATTTATTTTTTTTTCTTTTCGTGATCAATTAGATAAAAGAGATGGATCAAAGAAAAAATGCCTGTTTAATTAATAACGATAAAACGTGGGGCGTGAACGAGACAAAGAAACCTCCAAAAATGAAAAGATAATAATTCAAGTCACATGATAACTACTTTAAGGTTGAAAACCTTAAAGCTATGGTTGCTGCGAATATGCATAATTGGGATATTTTGATTTCGGAAATCTCTGCCGTAATTCCGATAACATATTTATTGTTATTTTGTTATTAATTAATAAATATTTTTTTTTTCATTTTCGAGAAAGTTGAGATGTAATATTATTGTTAACTATTTTTGAGTTCAGAAACAAAATAGAGTCCCACCCTGCATTTGAGATGTACATCGAAAACGAAAAAAAAAAAAATTTCCTTTGTCTTTAACGAAAAAAATAATGCACCATCGCATTAAATGATTCTATTACAAAGTGATCATTTCGACGAGTAGAATAGTAGGTACTCATAGGAAATTCATGGCTCGTACACCGCGATACTTGCAAGTTGATAATATCATTAGAGTGTGGCGCAACATTTAAACCCAAAGAAGGAAATTTTGCTGTATGCCGATAATACGGTATGCTGATGAAAACAAACACAAAAAAAAAAAATAAAAAATAAAAATAAAAAAGAGATTTAAAATTTAAAATTTAAATTGGTAATGAATTTTGACTCAACTGTTTGAGCTTTGGTCACTACTCCTTTTTCTGTTAATTCCGCTCCTTGTACTGTTTCAGAACATTACATCAAATTTCCTCCCCTTAATTTACGATGAAAAAAAAATTTTTTTTTTTATTTTGGAAAAGTCTCACTAATTGGTTCATCAAAGTAAAAATCACTCATTACCATTCACATAACATACATGTACAAACTTGCATCACCATAAAGAAATATTTCTTTTGTTTGACTTAAACTAATAATTTGATTTTTTTAATTTTTATTGGATATTTTCGTGTTACAAGAGCTTTTTGCCTAAAATAGCAACGTTATACACTAAATAACCAACAATTGGAACTATTTACTCTATATCCGAAAATATGAATTTTTTTTTTATGTTCTTACTATTGTTTTGCAAATCAATCAATTTATAGTTCGGCCTTATCGTTTCAGAAAAAAATTTTTTCCTACGTAACCACTAATCGAAATCTTATAAAATGACCTTGATTTTACAAACAAGGTTTCAACAACAAAAAAGAAAATATATATTTCAATCAAGAACAAAAAAAAAAAAAAATAAATAATATTACTTACATTTCCTTACTCACGTTTTCACTCAACCTACCTACTACATTCAATCATAAATCAATTTTACAATGGCTTTGAAATACACCGCAATACTTTTCACCATCTTTCTTTTATTCGTCATTCAAGTACGTTATTTTTTCTTTTTCTTTTTCGATTCATGATTTTGTATGTAAATAACGTAAATGGAGATAACTTACGAGCAACCTTTTTTCTTTTTTTTTAATAGAATGCTTCAGCTGACATAAAGATGATGCAAGTAGCTTTTGTAGAAACTTTAGCATCAAAAGAATCCATCATTTGTTGTCCCAAAGGAAAATCCAACACAGCATGTAAGTATTAACAAAAGGACGACATTTCCATCGATTCAAGTCAAATGAAACCTTTTTTAATTTCATCATCTTCCTTTAATCCTTATAGCTCTCACAGTATCAAAAACACAACCCGGATCAAACTTAAAAAACGTTAAAAACAATGATTGCACCAAGGCAAATGACGTCAAAGTCAATGGTGAGGGCATGGGTGACAGTGTATTAACAGCAGTTGTCATACCCCAAGATGAATTAGATCAAAAACGTGCAAGTGGCGAAGCAATTAATAACGACAGTGTTGGTTGTGAGACTCCTACCGAATTCTGTATGCAAACTGATTCAATGAAATCAGATAATAATTGTATCGTCATAACAAACGTCAGTAATATGGATTCTCAGATTTCATGTGATTCTTCCATGTTTAACCAATAATTGGTTCAATAGAATCGTATTTTTTTAGAATTCTAAATAGATTAGAATTGGATTATATTTTAATTTAGTTATTATTTTTGTAATATTTTTTTTTTTTTTGTGTGTGAATTTTTTTCCTTTGAAGAATAAAGCAAATTATCATTTATTGATTGATTCAATAAATTTTAATCTTGATTGAAATATTAATTATTATTTGACGGCTATATTTTTACTCTTGATAAAATTTCTATAAACGAGCTTATGATGTTGTTTACGATGATTTCGTCCTTCAAAGCGTTTTTTTTTTGTTTTACTGATTCATATAGATAATAATATTATCTTTTTAAAATCTTGATCTCCTGTTTTGGTTAACAACCGGTTTTTACCTTTTGTTCGGTTTTGTCGGTTTGGCCACAACCGAAAACGCCGATCAATGATCCGTGTGACTTCATGCCAAGTGTTCATATAATAATTTCTTCGGTTCAATATATGATTGTTAACTCGAAAAATAAAAAAAGCATTTTATTAAAAAAAAAAAAAGATTAAACAAACCGAATTTTCACCCTGTTCTCAACACGTCCGTTCCAAATAAGAAAAACTTTTTGGTTATTTAACTCAAGCAAAATCTATATCTGCGTTTTCTTCAAACAATTATGCAAATATGAATGCTGTTTAAAGTTTTGGAAGAATAAAACCCCCACAATTGCGACAATCACAACTATTTATGGGGTGAACCATTGGTTTGTCACGATTTTTTTTTTTTTTTTTTTACAAATCTTTGCTTGTGTTTTAATTGTCTATATTATGTTGCGCAAGTTCTTAGTGAGAGAAAATTATTTTGTCGTAACTTCTTCGATGGTTTACCTAACATTTTAAAATGGCGGTTATGGTTTAAAAGTTGATGTACTCGTATTTGATACATGACTAAATATTTCTCGCTACAATATTACAAGGCCTGGATGACTGGCTTCTCTTTAAGCAAAAAGTACTGTCTCCATGGCTCTCAAATTCTGAAGAAATACGAGTGCGAACGGATGCCAGTGCACCGATAATACTGTGATCGAATGGATCGATTAAAATTTTTAAGCACATTCAGGTCGCGGCTAACGACAACAATCCTATTATATTACGGCATGTCAGAAGGCATCTGTTATTTAGTAAATGTTGTAGAGTTTAAAAGTTTCGAGGGCTGACTTTATGTTATCTTTTATTGTCTAGAGAGAAGAGTGAAGGATTATATCATTTTAGAATCGGATGGGAAACTTTTCTTATATCTTGAAATTCACTGCATATGCTTCTTTTTAACTACTGGTTTTTCTCTGAAACAGTGAATTGCCCAACACAACCACGTCAAACATAGGGTGTTTTATAGATAGTGAAGAAGAAAGAGAACAACTTTCTGGAAGGGAAATATTTAATTAAGGAACATCATTGACCGTGACCGGATCTCTGTAAAATTGTTCTGTTTGGTTTTTGACGATCGTCATCGCTTTTATTGACAACGAATAATTAGGGTATGAGAAAATGAAAGAGATAGTTTGGTTCCAATCGCTCATAAATACCTCGTGCAATGTACGACAAATGGGAAGCTAATAGGTTAATTATGTACATTTTTGTTTTTGCATGGTCTTTTACTCGTTGCACATTACTTTTATTAACGCGTTTAATTTCATTTTGGACAACACTTTGAATGGTTATGTATTTTTAACAAAATGATATTGATGGATTTAACATGATCTTTGGATGATTATAATGCTGATGGGAATGTTATTAATTTTCGCTAAGAACAAGTAATAGATAAATAAAATTAGAATATTCGTATCGTATGTTAATTAATTATTTATCTATATTTTTTAAAATGATCAATCTGCTATCATAACGATAAAATATTCGAAATCATTTCAGATAATTCGAGAAGCAAATTTAATAATTTTTATTCCATCCGAAATCTCGGGTGAATTTACACCTTTATCAACTTTTTTAATTGAAAGAAAAAAATATATCTTTTAAGAATTTAATAATGAATAACATCTGCGCGCAGTATGTTGTATGTATACCATCTATACTGATCTTATTATCGTATACTCCCCAGTAAAAAATATTAAAGTCCCATAATTTATATAATAAAATAAGGATTTCGGAATATAAAACTTTTTTTGATCTGTGAAAATTTCATATAATTATTTTTTAACTTTTTAAATTTAATATCTATATTTTTGGTAAAATTAAGATATTAGAACTTTTATTATCTATCAAAATAACTTTTAAGACACATCAATAATATTTTATTAATGGCTTATATATTTTTATTGTATATATAGAACTTTTGCAATAGAAAAGAAAATGCTAGAGACAATCTTAACCTGAAAATTATATTTGGCATATAAAGTAAACTTGATTTTTTCTGATAGTTCTATCGTAAAAATTCTATATTACTATTTTATAAACTATTTTAATAAATATGATAAGTTGAAATTATCAATCTTTTTTTTAAAAAAATATATATCTATTTAGTTTAAATAATTCAAATTTTATTAGTAATTGTTTTAAAAGAGCTGAGTAAAGTGAGTTTTTCTAAAGAAAATTTTATATAAAGTATTTTAATAATTAATTTATCAGAAAGTGTAATAATATTTCAATACATTTATAAATATATACCTTTTACAAAAATAATTTAAAGTATTTTTAGCTTCACATTTCTTTTCTACATTCTCATTCAATTGTATATTAATATGCTTTCATTTTAGTTATGATCAAGTAATAATTAAATCTAAAACTAATTTTAAGTATTGTATTTTAATTTAAATTACAAAATTAATTCATTTCAAATACATTAAAATTAATAATTCTGAATATTATATATAAAGATGAATTTTTTCAGATTTTTTTTATTACAAAATTATGAAAATAAAATATTTTATTAATTTTATATTAAATTTGTTTATTTAAATAATAGTGTTAAAATTTAAAATCAATGCAGATCATAAAATTGGTAAAGTAGAATTATTATATCAAATCTGATAATTTTATAATATTTTAAAATAATTATAAATCTTATATTTCTAATTACAATTATTTCAAAATATTTTAAAATTACAATTGGAATTTTAATAAAATATTTTAAAAAATATATAAAATAATAAATTATATAATTATATAAATTTAATTTGTATAATAATTTATATTACAATTTTTTTTATTTTTATTGCAAAAATAAAAGTTTTTTTTTTATTATATTAGATTTTAACATTTTATTTTGTATCATTAAATTTATTATGTTAACTTAAAAATCTTAATTAATATAGATTAAAGATCTTTAGGTTAAAGTAAATCTCTATATCATTTAATTATTAGCAAATTAAGTTTAAAAGACTATTAAAAACTATAAAAATGAATGAAATAAATGTCTTATATTTCAATCATATTTAACTGATATGAAGAAAATATATTCTTTTAATATCATTTTTAAATCAATTTTTATATTAGAAATACAGTCAACTCTTGATATAGTAAACTTTTAATATAATAAATTTTTTGAACAAATATAATAATAATACTCTTGTTATAGTGAATTAGCCAATCAAATCTCTTAAAATCTCATTATAACATTATAGTGAAGTTGAGATCTAGAACATAGAATTCATTATAATAAGAGTTGACTGTATATCTAAAATTAAATAAAATATTAAATAATAGTATAAATCATGTATTAGTATAATAATATAAAAAAAAATTTATAAAAAACTTATTTTCATTTATATTACTATATAAATATTTATATATATATTATAAAATATCAGAAAACAACTTAAATTTTATATTATAATTCTAAAAATTGATTAAACTTTTTAAATTATCTATTTATCTAGTATAACTAAATTATATTTATATATTTTAACTCTTTGTATCACTTTTATATTTTATTTTTAAGGTTGTTTATCTAAACTTAATTTAGCAAAATATTTAAACTTTAGTTTCACTAATTTTTTACTAAAGTTTTAATATAATTTGACAATTTTAATAACTTTGATATAATTTTATTTTTTTTAAATTTTGCAGATTTTTAATAAGATTTTAATATAATTTTACTAAATTTTACTTTTTATTATTTAAACAATTTACAAACCCTTTAAGTTTTATCTAACAATCTTATCTATCTTAAAATATAATATTTTGTAAACTTAATAATATTTACATATAATTTGAATTGTAAAAAGAATAAGATAAAAGCATTTAAATAAATCTAAATTATTAAAAATTTAATTATTAATCTTTGAAATATTGTATTATATTACAAAAGTTTCAAAATTTATAATTAAAATTAAAAATTTTATTTAAATAAAAAATTTACTAAATATCTTCATAATCTAATAAAAGCAATTTATAAGTGTTAATACCGTTTTTGAATGAAGTCTTAATAAAAGAATACTGATGACATATATGATATATTTTTGTAAATACTTCTAAAAATAATATTGCACACTTTTGAGAAAGCATTTATAATTGCTTTAGTTGATATAAATATTTTACGGAATCTACAAAATGCTATCAAAATTATTATTCTGTCAATATTAAAAAATAAAGCGTGTCTCTTTTTGTAGTTGTTCAGATGTAAAAAATTTAGTAATGCTAAAACTCCAAACGGTTCAGATTAATCCAAAAATTTTCAGTTCAGATCAACTTCGATTTAGTTTCAGATTGCAAAAAATTCAATCTGAAAATTTCAGATTAATCTGAAATTTCAGATCATTTGAAACAATTAAATTTATCATTCTAAACGAACGATAAGAGAATCGTTCGATTAGAACGATCAAAATATTATTCCAAATAAATGATAATAAAATCATTTAATTAAAACAATCAAATTATCGTTCCAATTGAACAATAAAAAATCGTTCAATTGGAACAATTAAAATATCATTCCAAACGAACGATAATAGAATCGTTTAATTGAAATGATCAAATTATCATTCCAAATAAACAATAAAAGAATCGTTCAATTGGAACAATAAAATTATTAT